TTTTTTTTCTTAAGGTAGATAAACTTTTGGCAACTCGTGTGTGATTGAGAATGTGATTATATGATTTGCATCTATTATCTATGTGTTTTGTTCACTTGTTTGTTTGCCACTCATCTTTTTTCTTGTTACTTTGCTTTGTATATGGTATTAAGTGTCTTTTTATATAGAACTCATCCAATATGAGCTCATCATGCCTCATACACTACAAAAACTAAAATTTGGTTATTAGGTTGAAGACTAAAAATTGGTATTGGCTTTGTTTGTTAATTGGCGTTTTGAGCAAAACGCCAATTCAGCTTCTTTGACCAACCTCCAAAAAGCTAAATGGGCCATTTAGTGATGTTTGGTAAATAGCGGTTGAAGTCAGCGGAATGGGATGAAACGCCAAAAATGAAAACTGCAGCGTTTTCCATCAGCTTCTTCTTTTTTTTCTTTTTCTTTTTCTTTTTTTTTTTTTACAATTTGGATCAGCTTTTTGTACTATTATTATTAACGTTTGAGTATGATATTGAACTAGTACAACATTCGTGTATTACACGAATGCTTGTTAAATTTTTTTTTCTTAAAATTTAAAATTAATGATAAAAATTAGTTGAAAATTTAAATACTTTATATATATATTTTTTATTTTAGAATGATATTTGTTACTTGTGCGACTTACATGTATTATATTATAATAATTTTTTTATTTATAACATATAACTACATTAATATGATATATTAATTGAGAAACATTTTTTTTTACAAACAGCTAATTTTACCAAATATTATTTTATAAACCGCTAACACGATCAGTTGGTCAAAACAGCTAACACAATCCGCTGGTCAAAACAGCTAATTCAATCCGCTAACAGCTAACAGCTGATTACCAAACAAGGCCATTATAAGATTAAAGAATATGAAAAAACTATGTGAAAAAATAAGTAGTACTTGATGGGCATTTTTGTGTGCTTTTGACCCTTACTCTAAAGGACATTGTTGCCAATGCTGAGAAAACAGTTCGAGCAACGGTGAAAGGTAAATTATGTCGATTTCGACACAATTTTACTAATTTCTTAATATCATTTTCAAATGAATTA